TCGAACATTAGGGTGAGACAAGACAGACCATGGGCTGTCAGACAAATGGCGAGGGAGTCACCGGAACTTTTGCCTTCTACCTCTATGGTAGTGCACGGTGTTCCGGAGGTGGAAACGGGCACTGCCTGTGAAAAACACATGCATGACGTACAGCAGTGGAGATGGCTGTCATCTCACATGGCCCTTGGCGCTTCTGGAGCCATCTCCGTTTACCGACTACCTCGCCCCGCTCATCTCACACTGATTAGCTCCCCAAAGCTGCTAAGTGTCACATTCAACTCCCCGGAGCAGTTGGTCATAGCACTTCAACGGTGGTATGAGATCAAGGTGAAATTGGGAGGACACATCCGATGCTGCAAAAGCAGACCTCGAACCATAAGGAGGCAGCAAACGGAGGCTTTAATACATCCCCAAGCTTCAGTGACTCTAGAGCGATGCAGTTATGAGAATAACAGTCTGTGTCACCCAAGTGTCCTGCCTAAATCCATGGGAAAAACCACAACGGGCCGGTTCCATCGGAACTGGCCAACTAGTCCCAACATTAAGTCCCCTACCAGCAGACAGCTTCACGTCAACTACCCCACAACACACTGAGGTTGTGAGACTCACTGTCAGCTGTCTATATAGCAATGTAAGGGGGCTGAGAGGAAAAATGGGTGAACTCCGAAATCTCCAATGACACCTACAACTGTAAATGATCATTCTCACCGAAACATGGCTAACCCCCACTATCGCCGATAATGAAATCAGTATAGGTGATATGGTTCTGGTCAGGAGAGACAGGGATAATAAGGAAGGAGGGGGAGTTGCTATATACTTTGACAGGCAACTTAAATGTGTGCGTGCAACGGACACACCACGTATTGAACTCCCAGACTCCATATGGTGTCATTTCACCCTAGGCCACACCAAGCATTTACTTGGTGGCACCTACCGTTCTCCCACCTGTGGGGCAGAGCACAATCAGCTACAACTCAGCAATATCACAGGGATACGAGACTTGGGCTATGACCAAATCACCATTGCTGGAGATTTCAATGCCCCATCACTGAACCTTGGCTCGGGGTATGCTAGGGGAAAATTCGGCCGAAATCTACTGCAAGCTATTCGGAACATGGGACTGACTGAGAACGTTGGAGACGACACTAGGTGGCGCCCTAGTGGAAAGTCATCAAAACTAGACTACATTCTAACTAGTGACCAACTACTTGTCGAAAAGGTCCAGATCATGACTCCTCTAGGAAGTAGTGACCATGCAGTCATAGGTTTTGACCTCGTTCTTCGTGAACCTTTGCAGTGGGACGCTACGCAACCATGTCTGTGTCACAGCAAGGCTGACTATGCTGAAATGCGGAGGCTCTTGACCGACGCAGACTGGCCCTTAGCATGGGATGAGCTGTCTGTGGATGAACACTGGGAAGCGGTAAAAAAGATTATTCATACAGTAATCTCGGATACCGTCCCTTTAGTCACAACACAGCCCAAAAGAAAGTCATCATGGTTAAAGAGAGGTACGCAAGTATTCTGCAAGCGGAAGGCTTGGTTTACGTGACGCGTATCTAAGAGTCAGATTGCCCATGATGTATGCCTGGAACTCAGGAACTGGTGCAATGCAAGAGTCAGGAGGGACAGGAGGTCATTCCAGGCTAACCTTGCTAGAAAACTCCTGGCAAACCCCAAGAACTTGTACCGATTCATGTCGGAAAGAAAACCAACCAACCAGGGGGCATGCGCCTTAGTAGGCCAAAACGGTCAATATCTCACTAGTCTGGAGATGGCTGAAACAATCAGTTTAGCCTTCGCCAAACAGCTAAACAGCAATGTGGGTATTACCGTTACGGACCAAAATGGTGGCATCACTATTTCACAGGAGGAAGACCAAATAGCCACCCTCCAAATAAACCCTGCAATAGTACTGAGAAAGCTGCAGCGACTCATACCTGGGAAGTCCCCAGGTTGTGATGACATCAGACCATCTGTTCTGAAACAGTGCGTCGAAGCTCTCTGTAGGCCTTTATGCGACTTATTCCAACACTCCATGGAATCTGGGAAAGTGTCAAAGGAATGGAAAAGAAGCATCCTTTCTCCGATCTTCAGGGGTGGGGATAGGCAAAATCCCACCAGTTATAGACCAGTAGATCTACTCCCAGTGGTATCAAAAGTACTGGAAAGTATTATTGATGATCACATCTGGGAATATCTCGATAGGTCTAAAATACTCCATGAAGCCCAGCACGGTTGCTGGAAAGAGATATCCTGCGTCACTAACTTATTATCAGCTTGGGACGACTGGACATCATGCTGGGATATGAATGTTCCAGTCCATGTGATCTTTCTAGACTTTGAGAAGGCATTTGACAATGTTCACCAGGACCTTCTCCTACACAAAATAAGCCAGTTAGGTTTAGGTAAACCACTTCTGTCATGGTTGAAGGACTACCTAACTGAAAGGCAATTTTGCACCAAGGTCAATCGAGTCCGATCATCTTGGCACAGCTCGTCATCAGGAGTGTCGCAGAGTTCTATCCTGGGACCACTGATGTTCTTGATTTTTATCAATGATCTACCATGCCGTCTAAGCTGCCCGACTCTTCCATACGCTGACGACGTAAAGAAATAATAATAATAGTATATTCTCATTTTTTACATGAGGGACACCAGTTTACAGGCATCATCACTTCGATAAATTACACATACGATTAGTAAATATAGTTAGTAATGATAATATAATAGGGTACATATTTGTTCATACAAATATAGGAAAAACAAGTTCTATAGGAATGGATAAGAATTATTTAAGTTACATATTTAAATTACATGATTTACGGTTAAATAACATGGTTGCTGTCATTTTATCTTTAGTTTGTGGGGAAAATCGGATAACTGGTGATTCAATGGAACACACCAACAACTATAGAGATATTGACTTCGCATTAACAAAAAAAAACCCAAGTATGCGTTGGATGGATTACATACACTTGGGAAAATAAATAAAGCTTGAAGTCAATTCCCTCATAAAACAATAAAATGCGTCTTACAATAATATATTCCCACTTTATGCACATGAGGGACTCCAGTTGACAGGCATCAACAATATGGTAATAATGCACACATGGAGTAAACATGTTTAAAATTTTCCACTAACACAAAATATATATACAAGTTAAGATAATGAAATATTGACCGTAAGTACACTATGCATAAGTTAAACAGTTATATGGCATATCTAGCACAATTATTGTTGAATTGTTGAACATGAGCGAAACAACTGAGTGTTACGTACATTCGGTCGATATGGTGGGCTAGTCACAAAAGTATAAAAATGGCTTATAAAACGTTACTCAGTTTACCGTAAACGATGTTTTAAGCAATATAAACTGCAAACGGCTCACCACAGCAGTTAGTATCCAGTTAAACATGCAGAGAAGTAATTATAATTCAGCAACTGGTGAATTTTATTCTTTTCGGTCTGGAACCTGAGTAACTGCGAACCAATCCATACAAAATGTCGAAAGAGGCATGCAGGAGCAGAATTTGACGATGAGTCATTGTATTGAGATGCAGCTATCAGCATATTTCGTCATTTCATAGATATCAGATTTATTGACGCTGTATAGGTTGTGATTGATTTGTCATCATGATCGACATATGGACGAATATTCAAATCGGAATACAACTTGTTGCTTGTTATTTATTGGGCGGTAAAGTGTCCGGAGGACTCAGATAGGCTGCAGGAAGATCTAATCCTTCTGGAAGACTGGGCGGTGGCCAGTGGCATGACTTTCAACCTAAAAAAGTGCAAAGTGGTGAAGTTACGCACCTGTAGACTGCAGAGTGCAAGTTACACCCTGTGCAATGGAAGCTTGTCCTGCTCAACGTCGGAACGTGACCTAGGTCTAGTTCTAACGGAGAAAATGGACACAAGCGTAAATTACACGGGGGACGTAGAGAGGGCATATGCGGTCATACACTTTACACATAGACAATTAGGTGCACTCACTCCTGAGCTCTTTCTAAGGTTGTATAAAACATACGTCAGACCGCATCTTGAAGTGCATAATATTATTGCACCCCCACCGCTTAGAAGAGACGCCAACCTCTTGGAAAGAGTCCAACGACGGGCAACAAAAGGAGTGGTTGGTCTCCGAAACAAACCATATGATGAAAGGCTGAAGAAATCAGGCCTATTCACACTTAGTTACCGTCGTCTTAGGGGGGATTTAATTACTGCCTACAAAATAACAAATGATCAGAATCACCCAAACAAAGGTGTTCTGCCATTGAGTAGGTGTAGGCTCCCTCGTGGAAATCCTAGAAGGATAGCTCATCAGAGGGCAAGGACCCGGGTGCGCTCCCACTTCTTTTCCCTGCGGGTTTGCCGTCCCTGGAATTCCTTATCGGCAGATGTAGCTATGGCACCATCTGTGGACGCCTTTAAGCGAAGGATGGACAACCATGCAGCGACACAAGGACTGCATCCAAATGGCCTATCCCCTTAAAATCGCATACACCATTCAAAGGTAGACAATTAAACTGGTCGTTTTACTTCTTTACATTCTCTTCCGTCTTACTCTCCTGACAGCTTTAACTACACCTATTATTATTATCATCATTATTACTGGTATATATATATATATAGGTTGACTGACTGTTGTTACGTTTTCTTATTCTTTTTCTGTCTGTTAGTCTGAATACCTTCACTAATTATATCTATTATTATTATCTCTTTTCTATTGACGACGATACCGAAGGACCAACTGGTGAAAGGATCAACTCCATTCACAGTAGTAACAGTCTTAACACACCTCATTCTACAAACCACATATAATTAATCCCTGCACTACTCCTTTTGGAGTCAACCAAAGCTACGGCAGTTGAGTGGCGGGACGAGCTACGCAGAAGTTCACCGAAGATCAGGAACGTATACCTCACGATAAAGAGGCGAGCACAAAGAAATCAAATTGGTTTATACTAGCTCGTAAAAACGATATTGGATTTGTATGATCTTTGTTCATTGCTTTTACAGTCTTCTGTGTCAGATTTCAAAGGAAGAAGTTAGTGACTTATTTTCACAGTCACTAAGTAATGGACATTGTACAGCCTTCAGTTTCCCGCATGTTACAAAACTAAGCGTTGTAACGCGAAAGGAGAGAAAGTTCAGTATAAATTTTACCCACGGTAATAATTCGCGAATGTGCTTTTCCCATAGTTTGTGAATTATTAGCTTGTTATTTCCTGCTTTAATTAGTAAATATCATTTCACTGTGGATATACACTGAGAGTTAACAAAAATGTAATAATGGATGTTTAATTTTGTTGCTCAGCCTTAAATGTGACTAATGAGTTTCAGTTAGTTTGCTTTCGTTCTCATAAGTCCTAAAAATGTACCATGAAATCTGTCCTATACTGAAGACCAGTATTAAAGAATCCTATTATCATCTTGTGAAGTTCCTAATAAGAGCAGGCTTTGAATGCTAAACTGTCAGTAAATCGTATTAGCATTGACACACTTGGTAACTGATACACTAAAGAATGCTCAGCAACGGCTTTTGGAGTCGAAAGAAAATGGTGCAACTGTTGTATTTTAAGTACTATTTTGTAGGGATTTTGTTGATTTCATCATGAGCTGACATTGGTTAGAGAACCACTGTAAGGTGACTCCAAACTATAGCAGTCCATTGCAAAACTACCTCTAGCGACGAATCAGATGCGTCAGAAGTGAAGTATAATCTCTTTATACGAGTAATGCAATGTTAAAAGAAGGCTACATAGCATAATACTCATGTATATGTTACAAAAAGAACCCCTAATGTCTCACAGTAGCCCTCATGTCAGGTTAAACCGCTTTCAGTACATAAATTCGTCAAGGTCATCAATCCATTCACTAGGTAGTTTCGTTTTGGCCTGCTATTGTTTAGAGTCACTAATTGAGATTTGACTGGTTGCGCTTGTAATGATTATCGGCTGATAGAAGTTAAATTGACACTCACGCAAATGTGCAGTATTCTGTTACTATTCTTGAGTGCTGTGAAACGTTAGTTAACTAGGCAGAAAATATTATTTTAAACTTCAAGTTATGCTTGTGATGACTACCGCTTTTAATATTTATGTAAAAGACTAGGATTCCATAATTTATCAGTAGATATATTCTAGCAGTTGGATTTATGAAAAACGAAGTGGTTGAAACTTTGAATATTGCTTAGGTGGTGACGGATGCAGCGTTAAGTCGTTTACACAATCTGAACTTTAAAAAGTAGGAAGGTCTAAAAAGCTCAGTTGAATAGACAGTGTTTTAAAATGCTTCATGTGAATGTTATAAAACGTTATCCTTTCCTTGTAACAGTTCCAATATCATTTTTCTACGAGCTAGTGTAAGCTGATTTCATTTCTTTGTGCTGTCTTCTTGATTGTGAGTTGAAGGTTCCTGGTCTTCGGTTTGCAATGGGACCCCTGCAAATTTTGTATAATGGTAATTCTGTAACTCACTGTATCATTGATTGGTGGATGATGACTAGCAGTGGAATCCAGAATGTGCATTTCGTCTCATTCGGGACTGTTCATTCGAATGTGCCTGCATTCCGCAGTGAGTGATTATGTTCTTACAGGCTCGAACTCATTGTATCATCGATTGGTTCCTGACACTTCATCGAGGTGTGTGTATGGCGCACTAAATGACCCATGTACCTACTTTGGATATAAGTTAGTATTTTAACATTCTTCACGTAACAGAACTCATCATTCACCACAACTATACTTCTGATTGATAATTTTGTAGCTACTCCATATTGTACTCACTTTTGTGCTGAATTTCTTGATAGTATCAGTATGTTAATTGGAATGCTCTCCAGTGTAAAATATTTTGCAATTAACTTACAGATCCTGATGAAGAATGTGAATGGGTTTCCAGTTATGCTGTATGTTGCTCCTGCAGCTGCTCTTATCGGTGTTCATGTTGGAGATGAGTAGGATTATTTATTTCATCAAATCGTTTTTTCAGATTTTTTATTTTATTGTGCTTGCACCATGTATTATGCAGAGTGTTTTCGAGGGTTAGCACCAATAGTTTGTGAGTACTTTTTTTCTTTAATCCAAAATTTTGAAGATTGCTTGTCTTCACAATGGGTACAGTATTGGCGTCTGAAATAATGGCGCTGCGAATTCTTTTACCAGCATCATGGTAGTTGCATTTTATCCTAATTAATAATTTTTCTAGGCATGCACCAGTCAACATATTGTATATTTTACTTGTCAATACCTTTTTATGTCATTATTTGTTATGGTCATTGATGGAGTTTTCTCTGGTTAATATTGAACATGAAGTAAGTTGTGGTTTCGTATCATTAGTTCCCTAATAGATTCTCGAAATTCCAACTTTCAGCAGTTTGCCAACAAGTAGTTGTATGCTGATCACGTTGTTGGGATTCGGCCATTGGAAGAAACATATGTCTTTACTGACGTGTGTTATAGGGTAATTTTTTAAGAAATAATTACTGTATCTTTTGACTTTAAAGTGTGCCTACCCTATGGCTTTTCTGCAGATATAAGCCACAAGAGCATCTTGAAAGTCTTTGGAATTCAATCATAGACATATGCACTGGTATCCTACTAATTCTCTTTCCTGCTTTAAATTACGTCTATTACTTTGCCGGTGGTGAAGAGCCATTGTTAAAATCCTTGGTAAGCTAAACCAGCATCGATCCTCTTATTTCGAGTAGCCTTTCTATACCCTCATAAGTGTCTGGAGATTTCTTGTCAAACATTTCTATTGATTAAAAGATGCGTTTCGTAACTGTGGCATTTTTATTGTATTTAGATTCTTTGAAAGCTGATATATTATTTCAGGAAAACAATTTCGGCATGTTGTTTGTCCACTAGCGAAAGTAATACCATAAAAGTATCTTAAATAGGCACATAATGCATAAGTAACACTTTTTTGGTCAATGAACACGTATTTTATTCTACTATTGTAACTTATGACTTTTGGCAAACTCTTGACGTCTTCATTATGAAAATCTGCTGTTAAACTTTGGTCTTTGGAGTAGCCAGCGGAATAAATCATCTTACACATCCCAGAATCTATCTGCATTTCAGCTACAAAGTTACAATTGGCCCGTTTGCCTTAAAGAAGAACATTTATATAGTTTACTGCTTGAAAAAAAAATTTTGAGTTTGTTGTGATTCTGTTTCACTAATGAGAACTAGATAGTTATTAGACGGTACTCAGTAGATATGGGTTACAACTATGCGGACTGATGAGTTGTATTATACTGAGTAAAAATAACTCATTTATCAGAATTCCATTCTTCCAGGAAAATAGTTTCTGAATGTATTGGTTTTCCTTATATCCCTCTTTGAAATGACTGCAGAATCAATAAAAGAATAAAAATCAATGCATATCTTCTTTGCTTGAAGTTCATTTTCATGTGAAAATGCCGACTATCAGAAAGAGGTGCTCAGAAATCAGACAAACCAATAGTTCAGTGCAGCTGTTTTCACTTATTGTCCTCTTTTTATTGAATTCACCTCACTCCGCTGTACGATTTTTCTCTTGTTACATGTTAGCTGTTACTGTATCTTCAAGCTGAATTACAAATATATGAGAGCTATTACAGTCACAACCCGAGTATTAAATGGTACTAAGTTGTTTGCTGGATAATCTGTACATTTAATTCAGGGACATTATCAATACATAGAAGCTATTTCTAGGTACAGTAATATGAAGCTATTGGAACTGGGACAATTCTTTAAATGTCTTCATATTTCTCTTTTTATCCCTCGCTTATATTATTTAGTCTTGTATCAGTTTAATTTACAACTGTTTATTTGGAGATTTCTTATTCGAATTATAGCACTGTGTTCGGTGGAAATACTAACTGTGAACATTTGAGCTATCCTTCTTCAAAGCGATGAATAATAAGAAGAATATCTGTCCTAAGATGCCAAAGGTGTGATAATTGACCTAGAAACTTAAGGCAGCAAGTGGAGTGTAGAAGTAATTTCGCAAACAAGTCTTGTACGTTGTAAAATGATTAATCGAGGAGAACAGGCGTATGATTGATTTGGTGGAATGACGAATTTTTTGAAATTAATTACATAACATTAATTAATTGTATTGCATTTGAAGGTGATAAAACAAAACTAATAAATGAGCTGAATAAATGAAATAATGGTTTTTCGATTTTCAAATCAGGTTCAGATTTAAGGGTTTGAAAATAGGGTATTAGTTATATAATGTTTATTGCTGTTAGAGATTTTTGAATGAAAAGCGAGACGGCGTTGATTTTGTTGACGTTTCTGTGTTTAACGCCAACACCTTAACCAGTTTTAAAAGTAAACCAGAAATTACAAAGTCAACCTACCTACTAAAATGTTTGAATCATAAAAGCGATGTGCCTGTGTAATGGTAAGTACTTATGTATTGACAGTGTCAGTTTGTGGATGTAGGATATTGGAACCAGGTTGAAATGTATTTTATTCTCTCATTCTTACTCAAACAATTTGCATTTGATTTTATGCGACGTTCTTCTGTTGTGTGATCTTAAAAGTATTCTGACTGTTTTCAGTGTCAATCTTCTGGCTTGATAATACAGTGTGAATCTATAACGTAGGATATTCCAAGCTTTTCAAGTACTATTCGATCTGTCAGCGGTCAAATAGTTGCTCTTCTTAATTTGATATATTGAGAATTTTACCTAATGTATGTCGCATCACCAAACAGCGGGTAATGAGGAAACAGGCATAAAATGGACTCACACAAAAAACTTGCAGGATCTGGACTTCGCGGATGATATATGTCTGATTTCCCACAAATGCGAAGATATACAAATGAAAAGCAACAAGTTGGCAGAAGAGGCATCCAGAGAAGATAGGCCTTCAGGTGAACATAGAGAAAACAGAGGTGATGAAGATTCCTGGCCAACAGCAAGAGCAGCAACAACAGACAAAAATCAGCATAAATGGGAGGAATCTGAAAGGAACAACCTCCTTTACCTACCTGAGAAGCATCGTTTCAACTACAGGCGGACCTGCGAGGATATCAGAGCAAGAATCCGAAAAGCGAGACAAGTTTTCATTACTCTCGAGTCTGTGTGGAGGTCAACAACACAGCATGAAAAATGAGATCCGGATTTTCAACTCCAATGCGAAGTCACTGCTACTATACGGATCAGAGACTTGCACTGCGCGTCATAAAGAGCATCTCAAACAAACTACAGACCTTCATCAACAGTTGTCTTCGCTCAATACTCAAGATCAGATGGCCAGAAAAAATCTGCAACAGAGATCTCTGGGAGCGAACCAACCAGGAACCGATTGTGAAACAAATAGGCAGGAAGAAATGGAGGTGGATTGACTGGCCATACTCTTAGGAAACCATCAAGTGACATCACTAGACAAGCCATTGCTCGAGTGGAACCCGAAAGGGAAGCGGCGAGTTGGTCGTCAGTGCGAGGGTGTCTTGGAGGGGGTCATGTGAAGAGGAGATGAAAGCGTGTGGGCAGACTTGGAGCCAGGTGAAGACTCTAGCAGAGAACCGAACGCAATGGAGACGCACGGCTGAAGCCCTATGTTTCTCTAGGAATTAAAGGAAACAATAATAATAATGTCGCATCACAGTCTGAGTACTTTACTTTGCACACAGGTTATGAATCCTTTGTGATTTCGTCTCCCGTATGAAGAAGATTGTCTTGTAGCATCTCATATTCTAAAGTGTAGTTTGATTTCACCGTTGGTGAATACTCATTTAATCTCGTCTGGTGTGTTTAACCTGTATAAAACTACTTCTGTGATCCCTAATATTAAAATACTTTTTCTGCCACGTTTAATGTTTCCCTTTGTTTTGTGGATAAAATCCCTCAGAGAGTTATTTATTTTTAGAATTCCGTCAATTTTCGGTTTTCCTTATTCTTTCTAATAGCTGCTTGTAATTTTCGTAGGAAAAGGGGGTGGTCATCTGTGTATAGTTTACCGACGCTAATTTGTGTAGGTAACCAGGGTACGAAGTTCATCTGAACAAACGTCCTGTTTCAGTAAGACTATGATGGCCTTTACTGTATGTCCATTATAATGAAGTCGTTAATCATTTCTTCCCTACCATTTGCCCGTCTATACAGAATTTTGTTTCAGAAATTTGGTAGTGTTGTTTGAAAACCTGTCTTTATGTAAAACCGCTGATGAGAAAACCTAATTGAAGGTAAACTTTTTTTGTCGACTTGCTTTCTAAGCCGAACTCCGAGCCATAATACAGAATGAAATAACATTATGATAAAAATGCATGAAGAATCTTTGTAAATGCCCCGCGATTTGTAATCTCCGGCGGTCTATACTGACTACAATATCTGTCATCATAATTTTCGAATTTAAAACATACTACTTGCTAATAGCGAGTAACACGGGCGATTTGCAAAGGTTTTTTAATTGTGTAATGTTATTTTCCTGCGCATTTTGTTATTGGTGAGTCACAAAGTGCTTCTGTCTGCAGGGAATGAATATACGATAAACTAATAATGTCTTGTTTTAATATAAAATAGCCCTTTACATAAATCTGAAATAACTGTGCCACTTTATAACCTCTTCGTATTTCTTTTCTCGCACATTTGTTTAGGCAGAAATTCTGTTTCTAATCACAACAACGAATGTGTTATTATCACAACTTCATATCCGAAATGTGTTTACGCCTAAAAGTATGTGTCATTTGTGAGTCTAATAATATTTTACATGATTTCATCAGAATAAATAGCATATGTGTTTTGTTAGCTACCAACAATCAAAATTACCTTGGTTCGTTTATTACATCTCAGGTGAAAGTGTTACTTTACCGAGTGTTGAAATTTGTGAACATTTGAGGAAATACGCTGCACTACATTTGTAAAGACATTCGTCAGCATATTACCGTGTGAACTACTTCTTTTATTCTCTCTTACGCATATGTAGTGTTCAAACAGACAATTTATTAGATGCTGTTGCTTTCGTCTAAGGACTTAAGCTTACGTGGTTCAAAATAAAATATAATTGTGCTGATATATTCATTTCTGATTTTCCAAAATCCCAGACTCGTCATTCATTTTTTCCATAAGTTCGCAACCTTCGTTGTCGTTATTTTTCGTTTACCTCGTGGATGTCGTAGCTTTTGTCTCATTGGTATTTGCCTTCAGCCGCATCAGGAAATAAGAAATATTGTGTTGTTTTCTGTTCTAAACTATTTCATTCCTAATATTATGCAAATGACTCAGCGTTTTTAGCACTTTCCAGGGCATAAATGTAGTATTGTGCAGGCGTCAGTTTCCTACAGCAATTGATAAACGGTCTATTTTCAAACCATCCAAATGTCATTTGTACTTCATGTTTAGAATTTGTATACTGCAGCTTACGATGAAAATTATTTTGTTTATTTCACTCTAATTTCTCAGTAAATGCGTTGTTTCATGTATTCTCAAACCTCCGATTTCGGCGCTACAGTTCTAAATATCACAGGAAAAACATTCCTTTATCTAAGATTGTAGAAATGCCTTATAGAAGGATACTTTGATTCAAGGGTTCTTACCAGTCGAGTGTATCAGTTTTCAGTGAATCCCAGTGTCATGTTCTGCTTTGTTGACCACATTTTAAACTTGATGCATAAATTTCAATTAGTACTTGAGAGCTATATCGATTACATACTAGTGAACAATGCATTGTTCGTTATACTGCACATATGTGATTATTGTTATTATTATTTTATTTCATTTTACAGACAGCTTTTATAAGCGGATTTTCAATGTGATTCCTGTGGTTAGTGGAATTATTCTGTTGATGTTTCACACAGATTTTCTAGGCGTATTATTCAACACGCCTGATTATCTGGCGACATTTTTTGTGCATTTCCTCTTCTTTTTTATCCTGATATCTGTGACATACATACGATTGCATCATCAAACTATTCAAAAACAATATGTTTTAAAGGTAAGCTTTATACATTGGTCTATCATGACAATGTGTGTTTAGTTTTAATAGAAAAAAACAACTAGTTCATTATTTTATCTACTTGCAAAGAATTAAAACTGCAGCTTTATATTTATTGAACCAACTGTGAATACATGCAATAGGAATCACTCAAAACCTGTCCAGAATATCGGTGGCACAGTGGTTAGGACGCACACCTCATATCTATGGTCGGCCTGCTAAATTTGGGCTACCGATATCACATGCTGAAAATTCCATACCTGTACCAAAAAATACGGTGTGGAATGAAGTTGTCATCAAAAAAATTTCTCCACTCTTACGACAAACAGGACTGAGGAAAGCGGACTGTAAAACTCAGGTTTCAAAATTGTGTGTGTGTAGTTACAGTCGATATGATTTTGAAAAGTAAATTGTTCTCGAAACGTCATCCAATAAAAAATATCGTTTCACTGTATGATATATCCAGTAAACAAATTAATATGAGACTACAGACTACTACTTTCCAGATTCGTAGTATAATTCATAGATTTATGCACGAGATGTAAGTGGTCATATTTGTATTCAGGGTATAAATATCTTTCCTATATATACAAAGTCGTCGATTAGATTGTGAGACAAAATTGCTTTAGTGGACCGATCTTAGTGTAATATCGATAAGAATTTAAGTCGAAACGAAGACAGACAGTTTTGTAACTCCATTCACGTGACAGTTGAACAGTAGCCTGTATCGTTACAAGGCAGAGTGAGACCTGATGGATAATTCGGCTATCAACCTGACTTATGGTATTTCCAAACTTACAGTTATCTATGTTCTCGTTTTCTCCTTTCCAATCCGCATCTTACAACACGTTTCGAGATTTTTAATATAACGTATGTATCTTGCATGCAGACGGTACTTTACTCATTGCGTAATAATCTATTTTATTTCTTTTTTAGTGTATCTCCCTCATATTATTATTCCTAATGATCGTTTTATATTGGAATAAACTTTCAAAAACCTTGAGGATTTCTCAGTGAGTTTTTAGTTTAATACTAATAAATGTGTTGTTTTTTGTTTTATCACTCGATTGTGCTGATTCCTCTGATTCTTTAGAGCTGTCTTGATCGATGCATTATTTCACTAATGTTTAGTTATTGCAAAGTTAGACGGAACCTCTCATATTTCTTAAAATCAAGCTGTGAGTAGTTGTAACTACTCTCTGTCAAATGCATAAGCATACAGGCTGTTGGTATAACAATCGTTTGATCTTAGTAGTGTTATTTGCGATTTAGTAAAATATTATAGTTTGCTCTGACCATATATATTTTTGTTGAGCGAAGATGCCAACAGAGTGTTCTGAAAAACGTAAGTGATAACCCCCAATGTAAACTGTTGATCCTTATCAATACACTGTCTAACTACAGAGAATCAAATAGTTCGACTCAGGATATTTTATCCGTCTACGGACTCGAACCTGTCATGACGCGTGGTTGTTGGATATGGGAACTTCGCTCAGCTTGTACTAAATGCTTTTCAATCCACTCTGTTTTACTTTACAGCCGCAAAATATTTCCACCTTCGGGTAGTGGAAGTACGAATTCTTCAGATATTTGACCATCGTTGTTTTGATATTTTGATGACTGACTAAGTAAATTAACAAAGTAGAGCTTTTAAAAAAGGTACATCAGTTCAGGATGTTTCACTCTAAAGAAGTACAAAGGTAGGGAAAATAAATATGATAAAATTACAGTCAATGATGATGTCTGGAAGAAAGAATAAAACAAATAATGATCAGTATATTTTTCAAAATATGGACAGTAACAATCGGGGAACACATCTGCGCTACCGGGAACCACTTTGAAACAATATCACCAAGAGTCTCTAACTGTTGATGTTTAGCATCCGGGGAACCCCATTTTGGCAATCTACCCTTACATATGTAGGGCAGATAAATATTCAATAACTCTATATGTTGGTGGAGCTGGGGATTGTTGTTTCATTTGTGTAACTTCCAGTCACTGGTTCACAAGTTCACATCCTGCTCCACTTTCCGAGAGATGAGCGGCAAGATGGCAGCATTAACCTCTGCAAAATTTAACTCATCACCAAATGTATGTAAATGCAAATGGTTGTTGAGTAACGTTTTGGCTTAACCACCTATTAATCCCTAATAAGCCAATTGTGATAATTTGGAATTTCTCTTAGTGGATCTGCTTCGCAATCTCATCAACTGAATCACTCTCCCTGCCTACAACTCTATGCCTAATCTCATTATTACTTACCGTGCCTTACCATCTAATGCATACAACTGAAGAAGAACTCCTGTGATCAGCAGCCCTATCTCAACTGTAAAGTCAAACAAACGACTTCTGCTTAGTACACACACATCCGCTGTTGGTCAGCCTGTGCATCCTGGTTCCAAATTGAAATATTGCTGCACTTTCTACAACTTGGGCGATTACGTATTATCACCAACTCGGTATATAAAAACGCTGCTCCAGATAACTGAGTCCTAACAAAACTAAACCAGCAAAATGTGTCATCTGCGTGAAACAGGCCTTTTGTGTCCATATCGAAAATTCATCATTTAGTGTAATAGACTTATGCAACTATAAAAATAGGTGAAGTGGCCAACGAATCCAACCATTTAGCTCTTTGCGTTTAGACTAGGAGTTGATGCAGACTAATCTTGCAGTACTGCATGACATTTGACAGAAGCAAACAGTATTCCAAAAATACACAGGTTATTGCTCAAAGTGTTAAGCAGACTGCATTTTGTTAGCGTCTCATCTACATACTCTGAATCAACAAGCATTTAATTTGTTGCAATCCAGTCTCTTAGGCGGCTGTCAATACGTCTAGAATCATATCATGAGAACTATAACATTAAGCATACCTGACGAATGTCAGTAATTATCTATATTTTGGATGATAACTCTCCATATGCTCCATAAATGGCTAATCTAGTTTGAGTAGAAAGCATTGACTAGTATAGTAAATTCTCTCGGTAGGCTCTTCATAGCCAGATATCACCATAATGCCTTTCGATCGATGGAGACAAATACCTCCTTCAGGTCAAGAATTTTATTAAGTGTTAGACGCGGAAACCTGTTGAAAGGTGGAAATGCAATCAATATACTCTTTTCCTTTCCTAGAACTCACATGGTTTTTACGAGTTGGTTTTTCAGAGCCTCACATAGTCCGTCACATTACTGTGGACCCCAAGACCTTACATACTTCGTCAGTCAAACTGATCTCCTTATGACTAAAAGGTGAAGACCAGTCTTCATTTTTAAGACTACTAATCCGCGATCTATACAGGTTTCATAGATTATCCCAGAGTGGCATATACATAAGACTACATTAGTTGTTGTAGTCAGCAGTCTTTTTCAACAACTCACTATTTGATTTTAGTTAAAACTCAAAGTTGATACAGTATGGACACCAAGAGATTTGCCACACAAAATAATAAAACGCACCAGTATAAGCAAAAGAAAAAGATAGTTGAAGGACAACAGAAATGAAACAAAGCGTTTGTAAGGATTACTTTCAAAAAAAGAAGAAAAAAGGCAACTACGACATATCCACCACTGATTTTGAGCCATATCTGATAACATTTCGAGGCAATCAACTGCATTATCTTTTCAACTGTGCCAAGTCCTTGTGATGCCTCAACAAGTGCGCTAACCCAACACAAATATTCATCCCACGACGATATGTCATAGGCTGACCACCTCTTCGCTTTTTTCACATACAGTTTCAGAGCTAGAAGGTAGTGAATAGTATAGATGCAAACAGAATGACATTCTTAGACATAGCTGTATAAAGATGAACAAGTTATGGTTGCAATTCTCATACGAACAAGGTAGAAAGTGTAAAAAGAATTCACAATTAAGATTGCACGGATTAGACATCAGTTATATTATTATGAAAGCAGGCAGTTAGTTCACCTAGACAAGTTGAGAAAGAGTTTAGTTATATTGAGGATTGTAGAATGAGTAATTCTTATTAACCAGTGCCTTGAATAAAGAATTGATCTGAACAGCTGTGTTGAAAGGAACATGTTAGTTGGATTGCTGTCCAAAGGATGTGAATTGAGTTCGTAAGATGATACTTCTCTAATGTGGATGCATTTCACTCCAGCTTATCCTGCTGATAAATCAACGGAAGAACATGTTCAGAAAAACTGAACTGAGTGCTAGCTGTCTTAAATTTATCTTTTAATGTATCTCTCTATTTACTGGTGGGTCGAAAGAACGGAGAGGTCCCTTGTTAAAGTTATCACATTTAGAAATGCAAAATTACCTAACAGTATCAGTGGTAAAATATCTCCGGCCATACTGTCGACTCAAACACAGCTTTCCGAGTAATAATAGATTATGCCTAATACAGAAATGGTGCTAGTCCGTCGAGTGAGACCTAACGTGTTTGCACAAAATGATTTCATGGTTATCCTTGAATTATCTTAGTGTCTTTTATTTTCCCACAGATGTAATAACTATTTATATCCTTTGCTCTCCTGTATTATTTGTTACTTTGCATATCCTTTTTAAAAATCATTCTTATTCCAATGTTTTCCAAATTGCTGTAACTGAATATATACTCTGAATTATGGTTTTTATACATCTTTTTACTGCCATCTCTTCATGCATATCTCTCATTTTTATCTTATATATTAATTAATTACTCGAAACTATATCAGATTTCATACCACCATGAACTCTAATCATACTTTATCATTAGCATTAGTTGAATTGTTTTGTTTATTGATCAACTTGATGTTATGCTGTGTTAGCTTAAAAAATTGTACATGTTCTTGGCTAGTTTTATCTCATCCCTGAACTAAGTCAGCTTGTTTTAATCTGATATTGACATCATTTTAAAGTAGCATGTGCGCAGAATTTTTAAACACGAAAAAGAACGAATTCCAATAAACCCATAATGCTTGTTGTGTTCTTAGTTGACAGAATTTTAATAGTTGTATATTTCTTTTTAATTAAAACTGATTGTCTCTCATATACGAATTACCCTTTTATGCTTGCAAACAAAGCGTTAACAACACCAATGGATGCATAGCACTAAAGACTACTGATTGACTGGGATGAGTAGTGGTTTACTATTCACAATTAACCAATGGTGCTTGATAGCCAGATCGAAGTGATCTAAATGCCAGGCTTCCGTTTGCCTCGTTTAGGATCGAGTCCATCAGTTTGACTCAGCTCAGAGAGCTGTATCAGTGAACACCACCCGATTTCTGGCTAGCTACTTGGCGAACTAGTAAGACTATAAATCACATTTTTATGGAGTAGGATAAAATGGGTCCAGTCCGTCGGCAGCTTATAAACTTCATACAACCTAAATAATAAAACTCAATAGTTTTATCACAATTTTGATATATATTTTGGTTCACTGGAGATAAAGCGTCAAAGGTAAGAATGATCTCATTTTCTAGACACGAGTCAAATCCATTATCAATATTTGCATATTCAGTTTATAGTACTTAAAGTGCCCAACCAGTGAAAGTAAGGTGTTGGGATGAAATGCAAAATGCGTTACTGACTAACGAGACTGACCTCAAGACATAAAATAAATCAAATGTTGCCAAAAATTAAAGAGTTAGAGTTAAAGGAAGAAAATTTGTTTCGCAAAAATTTCTTAGACATGAATCATGAATTTTCAGTTGCTTAAGCCGAACACCTAGTGTTTCAACTTACCTCTAGTGGATTACTTCAAAAAAAGAATCATAGGGAGTTGTAATACATCTAATAAGAGGTCCACAAAGGGATGATAGTGGCACCCGACTGTCACATCTTGCCAATCAAAGTGATTATTGTCTGGCACTGCGTTCCTGCATGAGTAACCACAGTAGTCAGTGCTATTGGCTCTACAAGATTTTGTGAAGCAATGTAATGTGATATAATAATAATAATTTCGACCATGAGCTGTAGCTTACCCTTTCCACAATGTCCAAACAGCACGACTGGAGAAAATTTGACGTTCTCTGTTAAAGTATGGTGTGCTTAGTGCACTCATGTAAACGACTCTTTACTATGGTAGGTATTGTATTCCTCTAAAATCCCAAATTCGTAATTTGTGTGTATGGCGTGTGCTACTGTGGCGCATCTATCTTGGTGCCATATTGTACCAAGTTTTTTCTGCGTTTAAATAAATAAATAAATAACTGACAAGAGTTGTCAGCAGTACGCAGATACATATTGATAGGAAGTAGCCAAAGTCTAAAACAATACCTTCAGTCAATGGCTACAGAAGCAAGCGCTTTCATTTCTCAAGTCTGGATCTAGCTTACGTTGTTACCAGGAAATAGTTTCAAAGTTTAACCTTCAAGAAGTCAGCAACCGCCAACCTAGCCTATCATAAGTGTGATTAAAAATGTATAAATATGTTGTGTTTTCCCTCAATGAAAAAGTTCGTTACCAAGTCTCTTGTCTTCTCCCGTTACATGTCTACCTAAGGCTACAATAGTAAAAGGTCGGGCTGACTGATTTCTTTGATTCTGTGTCACTAAACTTTCAAAGGTTAAACGTTATTCAAGGGTCTTCTATAGCGCTGTGAAATCTTTATCAATCATATCCTAGATAAAGTTCTTTTGAATTCCTCCATATACTAGTTGTTTTCTTGCTCTTTTTATACAGTTGATCTATTCGCTGCGTAAAAGTGTCGTCAGTGTATTTCATTGGTACAGTTGCTTTCTACTTAATAAAATGTCTTTTAATTGAACGAGTGCAAGTATCTCGAGGTTTCAGAGTAATTTTAAGGTCATAGTTGTTTTCGACTTTAGAATTAAATAGCTTATCACTTCGTTTTTCGTCCATTTTTCCTCCAGCATATACTTACTTCATAAAGACCGTATATATCGAGGATAGTGGACATTTTTAATGGATTTCTTTTTTCTCCTGCTTCAGACATCCCCTTTGGAATAGAAGACTTATGAATCAGTTGTTTTGGAGTAGTGTTATTTGTCTTATATCTTCGATATCTACTCTGTTCGCCTACGAATATGGAAATCAAGAGTTATTTGATTTAGTCCTAGGCGTTTGCTTTTACGGTAAGTATAACCAATCTCCCTAATTTTCCTTTTTTTTTAACAATGGAAAAATGTGTGAGTTCAGAATGCATTTTCAAAACTTAGATTTTTTAAAATCTGATATACTTACTAACCGCTGGCTGTACTTTTAATTTGCAACCTCTTTACTTGTGTATATTCTGGTATTCTGATGGCCCTGTTTCTGCAGGTGCACGAAAAGCTTTATACTACATTGTAGTTTCAGTGACATTGTGACTCACTGATTGAATGTACACCCAGCTTTCAACTACTAGTTCACACGTCCAAACTCGTTTCATATATATTACGAGATTTGGCGGTGAGTTATTATCATCGGTGATGTGCGAAGAACGTACCTAATAATTCTTTTAAAAGTGAAAGTAGAAGTGGGTTTGCAATGGCTTCCTCAACTGAAGAATCCACACCTTACTGGAATTTAATTTTATCGTGAAAGCACTTGACATGAATAAAAGAAGTGAGTACCTTTTAATTTAGTTGACAGATTAGTTAGTTAGATGCAGTTAAAAGTTACTGGAGAGATTGCATTCTCTCAAATAATACTTTTTCAGACATAAGGAACTTCGGATGTGGAGCTTGATGTTTGTAGTTCTAGATAGGGATGCTGAGTTGCTATTTTTTGAGTTTTAACATACCTATATGACTCCGTTGGTAAATATTTCATTGATTCGGTTGAATACTAGCTTTCAACCGAAGACACAGTTTCATTGTTCTTGTGCATATGTCCTAATTTCCTATCACACTAATTGTTGTTTGAAAGAAAAATTTTTTTCTTTCCCTTCTCGGCGGAGATATAGCTGTCTGGTTTTTACACTCAACTTTGAGCCAGGATTCTCTCTCCACCTAGTTTAACCTAGGCGACTGGATAGTGTCATCTGCCTTCATTCTCTGGACATGTTATGGTACTCAACAACCACTTGCATTTTAATTCTGTTGGCAATGAGTCACACCTATTGTGTGAGACCTATTCATACTGGACTTCTACCCTAGTACATAAAAATCTGTTCTGGATAACAGGTCTCCATCTCAACAATTCTTTCACTCAACAACATGGAACAATTGTTGCCAGTGCAAAATTTTTTTATTATTTTTGATTACAGCTTGATGCCACATCGTATTTTCAGTACAAGTACGGCTTTTTCAGCATGGATATCGGTAGCCCAAATTTTGCAGGCCGACCATAGATATCGGGTGTGCGTCGGCGGGGGATCGAACCCCGAACCATGTGCATGGTCGGCGAGAGTCCTAACCACTGTGCCACCGATAGGATAGCAACGTCAAAAATGCAACACATTTGAATAGTATGACTTATGAGTTTTCGTTCTCAGTCCTTAAATTAAAAGATCTGAATTGAGCGATCAGTTCGTATTACAAACGCCTGCAGGAAGTATGGTTCATGGTCTAGTATATATATAAGTGGCTTTATAAAAGACCGGGCTGAGTTAATTTCCTATTTTAATTATCTGATAAATGTTTAGTACATACAGTATTAATTTTTTCTCTATGTAATGAACATTTTCATGTTAAATATAAATTTAAAGGTGTATTTGTTCTTCAGCATTATAAAGTCACTAACATACTTTTTTTTGTTTCTGACCTTATTTTTTCAGTCTTTCATTATTCTGAATGGTGCTTATATATGACGGTTAGCATTTCGGAATCTTGGTTATTCGTTTCTTCACTAATCAGTATTGCATTTGTATTTTTGTAAGCAGAATTATTATTATTTTTTTATTGTATTTTCTTTGAATGTATTTCCTGACCAAAATTTATTCCATTATTTTGAATGAACTTATGCACCTTAATTTCAGTGATTGTTGAACAGTTGTCTTATCAATACGTAATTCATTCTTTAGACACTACATAGACTAAATTGATTGATCTTATGTAAAACGTAGTGAACACTAAGCATCTAAATTACTTAAACTGTTAAACTGTTTTCGTCAGAGACCGCTTGCGTATAAATCTAACCTTTCTATTGCGAAAATTGTGGAATGCAGTAGGGAAAATTTCCAGTAATGTTATTTGGAATATATTGGTTCGCTGGTGATGTAGTTGGATCTCATACGTCATTGGTTCATTGGTTTGGACTCTAGACTTTCAACCAGTATAACGTCACGAGTCTAGATACTACTTCTGTTTTTCGATTGATGCATGCGTAGTAGAAGTAGAATACAATTAGGAAACTATTTGACAAGACGTTTCTTGCGAAGTATACAAAGCGTCGGCTAGAAAACCATTGGAAAACCTGGGAATACTGCACAGCCAGCTGTCTCATTGTAGTATGGGACTGTTTAGCAGTACACACCTACCACAAGGGTTCCAACCCAAGACCTTCCAGTTACAGGGCGAGCTCGAAGACCGTTAAGCCACTGGGACCCGACCTAATAACCCATGAATTCCAACTTCTGCCAATTCAAGACATAGCGCGACCACTAGCCAGTGTCTTCGGCGAGTATTTGTCCTCACGCCCGACCTGCTGTACCCCACTGGTCACAACCTCCCACTAGAAACCCAGGTAATTACCTACGTGAATAGGGCCTGTCGCCAGTGAGCATCGCATTGACATTCAAATATTGGTTTGTAGGTATTTGATGGATGGGTTACAGGATTTCATCACGAGCTGACATTGGTTAGAAAACCATTGTAAAACCTGGGAGTACTGGAAGTACAGCCGTCCAGTGCTCCCAAATCAAATTCCTACAAACCAATACTTGAGTATATAAAGCAGTCGGCTGAATTAAAACAGTTACTTAAGTTCAATATTTTCTATTTTTCTTAGTGTACACTCTGAACCATGTACACATTATACATTCATTTATATTGAACCAACTCATTAGTAAACAAAATTTGAATGCGGACTGCAGGTACATCCAGGTGACGAGCCCCAAATAGGACGAAATGCGCATCCTGGATTCCACTGCTAATCACCATCCACCAATTAACTTGAGATTCGAATAACTGAATTGAATTAGGTGCTTACTGTAAACTACAAACAAGTATTATGATTTTCTTGATAAAATGTGCTTTACTAAGTTCTCATCTAAATGATTATTATTATTATTTTAGTATTTATGGATTCATTCTGCTGCAAGCACCTTGATCTAATCGTGAGCAATAAATTGTGCTCGTAACATCGTCAGTAAATGGACAGCACTGTATAACTTTTTTTTCTGTCAAATAAATTATTTCATGACGGAATTTTACTCTACCACAGTGCCCAAATTCTACTCATATATTCTGTAATTTTATTTCTTCTTATAGATTGTTTGCAATCATAAAAGGAAGTAGCGTGAGGAATAGCTCATTTTATGTCTTCAGTCGGAGATCTAAAATTCAGCTATTCAATTGGCACGTCTTTTCTGCGTGCTGTTTGGTGCCAGCATTATTGAAACTTGTTTTACTCTGGATAAATAGGTATATCACCGATTCTTCTCAGCAGAATACAATGGATCACCGTGCCTATTTTGAGAAGGGTTTTGTGCTGGGATTGTATTTAATTATTCTGGGATTTGTTTGCATTGAAAGAATACACCTTTTTGCAAAAGAACTGACCGCCTGGTTATTGAAATTTCCGTTACTGACCTCATATTTCAGACAGGTTAGTTTTTTGTTATCATATATATATATATATATATATATATATATATATATATATATATATATATATATATATATATATATATATATATATATATATATATATATATATATTCAGAGCGATAATTGTTTGATGTCAGTAGGAAATAACTTGAATTGTATAGTGTGGTGCGAGCTAGTCAAGTGTCAAAAATAGTTAAATAAACCTGGTTCTAATCTCTGATTATCTTTGATATAAGTATAAAACTTGGGCACTGTGGTAGAGCATAATTCCATTATGGATAAGATTTTATTTTGATAAATCACACAGTGTTATACAGTAATATTAACTGATTACGTTTCGAGCATAAACTATTGCTCATATTCATATCAAGAACTTCAAACCATACTGTCAAAGGTAAGTAGTTTCGAAAATGGTATGCATATTCACCCTCTATTTCAGTAACTAATCACTATGGTTGGTGAACTGTTAAGTGGTTGGCGATAAAAACTGTCTATAGAGGTTGCTTCATTCTAGTGTTAAGCGAATTACAAGTGAGAAAGTTTGATTGTGTTATATACCCAAGCTCAGGTCTCAGAAAAACGGTTCCAGTTCGTTCTAAACCAAAGACGTACTAAACTGGTTGTGCACAGTTTTTCCTTTGCAAGGGGAAAGTCTTATAGGCAAATGATTTTGCCTGATTTTAAAAACGGATGGAACGTGAACAAATTTGAACCATTGGGTAGATTATTTATAATGTGCAACTGGGCAGCTTTGAAGCCTGAACTTATGCATCCAATTAAACTAGTCATCTATTGACTTAACTTTCCGAAGTTGGTAATATTTATATGTAGTGAACTTTTGTATCATAATAGTCGATTATTCTCACTAGCTCGGTCCAGTTTGACATCTAACTGTATTTGCCTAGGCCGTCTGAGGTGATCGGAAATTAGTACCAGTATCCAGTCTTCAAATGAGTTACTTTTCGCCTTCTGGTGCTGAACCTTAGTCGCAACGATATAGACCCATTTCGAATTTTAGCAACGTTATTGAACCCCAACAGCTGCATTCTTCTCGTACATAATAGTCGGCATAAAGAGGTAGTCTTTCTGTGATAGTGGTATTTCATACAAATTGATTCATGTGAAAATAATTCTCATAAATCAATTTCAATCGACATTCGAAAATTAAACAAGCATTCGCCACGTGCTGTCCCTGGATTATATCCCAATTTTATTTTCCATACAGATTTCAGCCTGCTCCTATTGTAATTGCTACAAATTGTAATTTACTGTTGAAATACATGTTTAAAACAGTTGCCTAACATAATCTATTAAGGAACAATGGGATTCCCAATTGGCCACACTTAATACCTTTTAGATACACCAGTTTGGTTTACTTTTTAGTGAGATCCAGGTACATCTGACTGACCAGTCCTAAATGGAAAAATACGTGTTGTGTATTCCACTGCTAACCACCACAGTCGAATATATAGGCTTATATATATGTATAGAGATCTTGATGAGCAGTAGCTGTTTGCATGTCAGTGATGAATACCGTAAATAATGCAATTCATATCAATCGTGACAATAATAACTTCAATGTTAGAAAATAATATCGTGTTGGTGTGCAGAGATTTGATTGGTTGCAGGTTTCTTCACGAGTTGACATCATTTAGGGAACCATTGGGAAGCCAGCTGGGAGTACTGGACATGGCTGTCTCATCCTGGTTTGGGACTCTTTAGCAGTACGCACCCAGGGGGGGTCCGAACCCGGAAACAAGGTTTTCCACTGATTTCCTAACTGATATCCATTCGTGATGAAATCTCTAAAAAATAATTAGTTATTATTGCAGGTAATCGTAATAATCATGAAAATGTAATCAAATCAAGTCAAAATTTGCATAATACCATAGGTGAAGCTAATGGATAACCAAGTTTTAAGGAAATTAATAGACATACATTGAAGGGCTAAAAGGTGAGTGTGGACTATGATTCTCAGTCTCAGAGTCGTTTATTTGTTTAACTTGATCATGGAAGAGATAGAGGTTGGATAAATGATCTTTTCAACATAAAGAAGGGTATTTTCTGGAATCCTCGTTGCTTAATCCTTGTTTAAAGAGACGAGGTAGGCGTTTGTTACGTGTATAAAGTTTTAATCATAAAAACCGCACCTACACCTTTTCGTTACACAAATAAACTTTCAGCTGTTGTTTCAGATTTATGAGTTTTGTTAATCTACCGTTTTATCAGTTACTTCAAAAGGTGAAAAATATGGACACTAGCATATCATGGCTGATTCACTAATAGTCTTAAATACGATATTCATTCAGTGCATTTTATAATTGAGCAAAATTAATTACTATTGGCCTTTTATTTCAACCATTTCAATTATGCCAGAAAGTAGTCTGCATCCAGTGTTTCGTTTTTTTTTTTTTTTTTGATTTGTTTGAATTCCTTCTCTTTCTTTTTTCTAGAATCATATAATCATTGAGTCAGTCACTTTACTGGCTTACTTTCATTGTGCTGTCAAATTAGTTTGGCCTCAGGTTCTCATACTACTAATGCATTCACAAACGGAAATGTCTGTAACTTCATATACACACATATTGATCCAGTTATGTAAGTTAATTTAACTTTTCAATAGAACCAATCAGATTGTTGATTGTTCATAGTTTGAAATGTATGAAATAGGTGTCAAAGCAAAAGGAACATCAAATAGGTGTTATCCTCTTTGAGCTATTAAAAGACATGTGTGTAGCATCTCTCAGTCCATGGCTTCCCTAGTCCATCAAAGTTATCCAGCATCCGTCTAGGCTGGAAGAGAGTTAGACGGTGACGGATTCGAAACCTAAAATCATTCTATAAAGTCTTTGACTATTTGAGTCAGACAGATAGATTTAGACCGCCTAACTGGCTTGGGACGCTAAGAACCAATGAGTGGAGACTGTTGGCGCTATGTTCCAAAAGTGTTCTCATTGACCCAGATGTATTCACGCCTCGTTATCTCTCAGATCCTCTAAATCCTCATTGATCTCTACAAAATTGGTTGTTTCTCTTGTAAATTCCATTCACTGTATTTTTTTTGTTGAATTTCTATTTTTATTTTTTCCTGTCAAATATGTACAGTTATAAAGTGCGGCAACCTAAACTGCTGTACCTCTATGCAATATGCTACACTGAAAATTCAGTTTGGTGTATAGTTTGCATCCCACTTCATCTAATTTAACTTAGGCTTAGCCGTCACACCTGTAAGTGTAGCTCACAGTCAGTCTGAGATGAATGAAAATTTGTTCCAAATAATAAATTTCTAAAAATGCTGGGCTCCTTATGTATTACGAAAATAAAATAATAATTACCAGATTTAGACTCTTTCTCTTACCAGATTTGTTAGTGCACACAAAGATAATTGTCAAATGCATTTTCAGTCGTCTGTAACACATTATTTGTTTGATTATTTGAATTATGAAATTTATGTCGCATTTAATCACTATAAATAGTGTTATTTAAATTATTTTTAGCTACTTCATGTCTGATGACCAGCTTAGCTCAAGTTCTACCGTCTCTGTTTCGTATAAATTGGTCTAATGCTGAAATGTCTACGCATAGTCGTTGTCTTGGCAAACTTGGCTTTTTACTATTAATGTGGTTTGTTAATTCAAGACAGTTAGATCTAACTTTGTCTGGGTATGTTTTTGACCCAATGTTCTCCTTTGTTTCATTTTATAGTTACACACATTATGTTCGAATAGAATTTGAATTTTTCACTTCAGTATATGTAGACATTAACTTACTTTAGCATATTTTCGTGTCAAATTTTATATTGATATTAGGCAAAAAGAGTTATCGTAGTAACAGACATTTAGAAAATATGCCTTACGTGATTTTATGCAAGTACCCCGAAATATCTGTGTGTCGGTGGCACTGCGGTTAGGACGCTCGTCGACCATGTACATGGTCCGGGTTCGATCCCAGCCGACGTAATATTGTAATGAACGCTGAAAATTCCATACCTGTACCACAAATACTGTTTGGAATAAAGCCATTATTATTATTATTACCTCTCTAAGCCATTAGTAAGACTGGTAAAGAGGGAAGGTTGGGCATGAGGCTAGCAACCCCATCCCATAAAATAAAAATAAGACGCCATTGCTACCGAAACTTCAAGCTTGTAGCTTGAAGCCCTATGTTCCACTGGGAACGTGAAGGAATAAAAAAATTAAATAAAAAATATCCCGAAATACGAAACTTAGCAGCATTCGCATTTCGACATCCCATTCTTATACTCGTCATGCTGTAATTATGTAAAATTGAAGGAAGAAGCAACAGTAGTGTTAATAATTACTTCAGCTTTTACTGACTGGATATATCACCTTTATTATTTTATTTTAGAACAAAGGGCTTCAAGCCTGAGCTTTGAAGTTTCAGTGGCAGTGGTTTTATTTTCGTGGGGTAAAATTGCTGGCCTCGAAGCCATGCACCTTTCATCTATGGGTGTTTAGTGTGTGTGTGTTGGTCTTGTAAAATGGAAGTTTATTGGTGGATATTATTACTATTATTATTTCCTTTGATTCCTAGAGGAACATAGGGCTTCAGCCGTGCGTCTCCATTGCGTTCGGTTCTCTGCTAGAGTCTTTACCTGGCTCCAAGTCTGTCCACACGTTTTCATCTCCTCTTCACATGATCTCCTCCAAGTCACCCTTGGACGACCAATTCGCCACTTCCCTTTCGGGTTCCACTCGAGCAATGGCTTGTCTAGTGATGTCACTTGATGGTTTGTTTTCTCAGAGTATGGCCAATCCAATCCACCTCCATTTCTTCCTGCTTATTTGTTTCACAATCGGTTCCTGGTTGGTTCGCTCCCAGAGATCCCTATTGCTGATCTTTTTGGCCATCTGATCTTGAGTAGTATTGAGCGAAGACAACTGTTAATGAAGGTCTGTAGTTTGTTTGAGATGCTCTTTATGACGCGCAGTGCAAGTCTCTGATCCGTATAGTAGCACTGACTTCACATTGGAGTTGAAAATCCGGATGTTAATTTTCATGGTGTGTTGTTGACCTCCACACAGACTCGAGAATAATGAAAGCTTGTCTTGCTTTCCGGATCTTCACTTTGATATCGTCGTCAGTTCCATCGTCCTGTAGTTGAAACGATGGTTCCCAGGTAGGTAAAGGAAGTTGTTTCTTTCAGATTCCTCCCATTTATGCTGATTGTTGTCTGTTGCTGCTGTTGCTTTTGGTGGTGTTACCCAGGAATCTTCATCACCTCTGTTTTCTCTATGTCCACCTAAAGGAAGTCCTATCTTTGTTGCTTGTTTTGCCAACTTGTTGCTTTTGGCTTGCATATCTTCCAGTTTGTGGGAAATCAGACATATATCATCGGCGAAATCCAGATACTCCAAGTTCTTTGTGTGGTCCATTTTATGCCTGTCTTCTCGTTGACCGGCCCACTGTCTGTCGTATTATCCAGTCTGCCGCAATCACTAGACTGCCCATGTGTTTTGCAGATGCTTGAATTGCAAATTATTCCAGTCTTGCTTTCAGTTTATTCCACCCCCCGGCCCTTAAGATGATCATAATTAAACTGAAGTGGAACTCATTACCAGCGTAAAACTTAATCCAGACTTAGGGAGAGTTTTGTTGAAATTGAAATGAATTACGTTAAAGGGCAGTTAATTGTGTGTCACAGTTTAGTAGTTGCATACAAAGAAACACTCAATTTCAGGAATTATCGCTAACTGATTACTGCCAAAAGAAAAGGCGTTATTACAGTGCGCAATAGTGTTGTGTTATTATTCAAATTGCATGTTTTGCTGGTAGATTAGATAGAGGTAGCTACATTAATTTTGTCCAAATATGACGGATTTATTTTGAAACAACTCCTGACTTCAAAGTGCTACATCAGTTGACAGAACACTCAGTGCACTTAACTAGTCCAAAATAAACAATTGTTCACGTAACACTACTTGATTGATTGCTAGTTGAATAATGTACTGTTATTAGGTTGCCTGCTTTTTTAACCACTTATTCCTTCTAACTTCTTAGTGTGTACTAGAATCAAAAAGCATATATCTGTAGGTTTTATATATTTCCATCTATTTTATACTTCAGGTATGATGATGCGCAATAAACAAACAGTATAGATTATGGTGTAATAATGCATCAATCCATACTGTTGAAACAGGAAAACCTTTAAATAGAGTAAAATAAACAAAGAAGACAAAGTATCTCAAGGTGAATCGGAATAAGTAAACAGCTAACAAGAAAAAAAAGATGAAAACTAACCACGTGTTAATAATCCAAAGGGAAATAAAGGTTGTCGTATTGATTCCCTTACAAATGATTCTCTCCTCTCCATTTTACGGATTTCTTATATCTCATAAGTTCCGTTTGTTTGAATAAAACTAACTGCTTATAAACTCTGTCATATTATGGTTAGAATATTCAAAAACTGAATTCATTATACCAATATCTGACTGACTGTATGACTTGTAGAAAAGTGCCGCAGCTCAAGTAACCACTACTATAGTGTTTGCCTTACATGCATTCTTTAAACGCCTGAAATCATTTAGCGTAACTTCACTTTCATAAAGCTTAATTATCTTCATTCCTACACCAGTTAAACATACCATGACACCCAAATAAAAATAAAGTTGATGTGAAATATCATTTCCATGATATAATCAACCAACTGTTTATATCTAATCCCGATATGTTGAAATTAATCAGTTCGGGATTGAGATTGAGACAGTAATTGACTCCACTGACGTTAGTGGAAAAAAATGTAAGTAAGTATGGTATGTGCTTTGCGCTGTCTAAGTGCAAATATTGTTACAAGATTGAAAAGAAGCCTGTACCTGCACTCACTCCGGCGCTTGAAGTTGCCGATAAGTTCGTGTATCTGAGTAGATTTGTGAGTGCTGGCGGAGATGTGACGGACGAGATTTCCAACAGTATTATGAAAGCTAGGGTAGCATATGTCAACTTGAACCACCTTTGCCACCCTCGTGACGTAAACCTGGCTGTCAAAGGTAGTGTTTACAATGCCTCAGTGCGTGCTTTCTTACCCTATGCGAAACCTGGCCTCTCTGAGCTGAGGATGTATTCGATTATCGCTATCTCTGCAGGATTGCTTGCGTTCTACGACATCATCGCGTGAGTAATTCTGAGGTCCGGTGACGTGTGTTTGGACACAGTGGGGATCAGTATTCGTTAAGTGTTGTCATTTGGAAACACCAGCTCCAGTGGCTGGGACATGTGCTGCGAATGTCATCCCAGAAGCTTCCGTACATGATTGTTTGCTAGCCCTTGTATAGCATAGAAAAAGCGGACGGGTGGTCGGCCCATGACGTGACATTTTAGGATGAAGGATATATGTATTAGGTTAGCATCGGTTAGTACGTCACGACTTCGTGTTTGCAGTCCGAGAGACAGCTCGAGTCGGGGGCTCGAAACGTTATTCGATATGGCGAAGAATCGCAATCAATGGCGAGAGTGCTGCATTTTCCTTCTTTCTTTCCTTTCTGACGATAATTGAAGAATGCTGTTTGAACTTGTTAAATATGACTGTTTTCGTTCCAAATGAAGTGCCTTATCCGTTCTCTACCTGTAATTTTACTTTAAATCTATGTTGTTTTATTATTATTGTGTGGCGCTGCTTCTTGGCGCCATATTGTACGAAATTTGTGTTTAAATAAATAAAATAATACTGTAAAAAAGTGGTAATCAAAAATCCATGTGTGACAGTAGGTGGAAAGTGAAAGTCCTTCTCTACTCAAGTACTCGAGTGTATGCTTTGAAATCAGCAGGCAGTGTAATTATCTGTAGCACTGACCAACATTCACATCTTATCTCGTGTTCTTAGTGACTGTACAGTGTTATGCACATTTAAATGACAACTGAAGCCAATCGACTGTTATTCCATCTTGTATTTGTATCCTAATACAGTTTGTCATATAGTTCTGATTTGTATATACTGGCTATTGTAACAGTCTTATTGCAGAACTTATTGCAAACAACTGTTCGCTCAAATTATTCTTGTTCCGAAAGTAAACGGTGTAAAAAGAATATATGTTCTAGATAAAATAGACTCTCTATGTTATCTCGATATAAGAATACAGTTTGCACATTATGGTAAATTTAAATTCCATCATGAATGAATTATATTTGATAAAAATAGTGTTACACTGTTGTTTATTTTCTGATGTTTGGAAATTTATTACTTGTAACCATATCACATAATGCTGTCACTGTTTTTCTTTTATCAAATGAAAGTGTTCTATGATGGAGCTTTACCTCACCTTTTTCTCTCTATAAGTTGCGTAACAGCTTGAGTAAACGAATTAGACTACATCACCTTCAGTGTTCGACAATTCTTTCCATGTAGCATGATCTCTAGGCACTTTTTCTTAGCTTCATGTTGTTTCAAAATGATTGTGATGGAATATGGGTGAACGATAACTATCCTACTGTTGAAGACATATATATATATATATATATATATATATATATATACATATACATATATACTAGCCATTTCATTAGTGCACCAACATCACCCACTAGAATTTTGACGTCACTATCTGGCCGGGTTCCTCTCCATTACTGTTTGTAATTGTCTGCAGAAATCCTTCTTCTCTACTGGTTTTGTGTAGTTTGCAGGAATTCAGCATCAGATAGTTGTAACTCCCCCCCCCATTTAGCCATGATCCTGGGGGAGATTGGTTCTCACGGTATGAGAGCCTTTGATATTGAAAAGACTGCAGAGAACAGATTGAAATGACAATATGTCGTATGCTGAAGCCTTATGTTCCACAAAGAATCCAAGGTATGAATGATACTAATTATGTTATTAGCGCATTCCGTCAGCTTTTATGTTCATTCACTCCACGATCTCTTGGCTTGGGTTTTTTTACAATTGACTCTAATTGTTCAGTATGTTTGGACGAAAAAAAAATCAGATTTGAGAAAACGAAGGATTACTTTAGTTCTATGGGCATTCAGACCTATGCTTATTTAGTGCATTTAAAATATTCGACATGTTTTTTATATGCTTGATTGATAACTAGCGTTGTATCTCTTCACTAATATATATATATAATATTTACAAAACTGTTTCAGAGTGCTTATTTACGTCGCAGCTATGCCAACTGTCATTTTTTGTGCAACTTGGATCCTTTGTTTTTGCATCTTCGTATTTTCTATGAGAAAATTCACACTAACTATCAGCAGTGTCGTCACTTATCTTCTTGAGAATGCGATCGTAACAATCCTATTGATTCTCTCTTGTTCTTTTTGTATATTGGTAATGGTAAGTTGAACTATTCAGGTGAATTACTATACATTGCTTTTATAATAATTAACTGTGAAATTAATCAGGTAATTTAGATAACATGATTGACTAGTTAACTTGATGATTTGTTTCATTGAGGCGTTGAGAACCCAGACGCTCTGCGCTTTTTTCCATCATACTTTTCACTTCTGGTATGTAGTGAACAAATGTTCTTGCTCATTTAAAGGTATGCAGCCTTCAGCAGTCTATGACAAAACGTTATTAAATAAGTTGAATTATGTATTTAAACCCAGATAAAGTAAAGTTTGCGTTTCTGGTTCAATGGAGGAATGCTTGCCAAACTACGCATTTGGTCTGGGGTTCGAATCCCGGCCTATGCACTCCTGAATGTTGTTTATTTTACTGAGTGGATAGTAAGCCCGGAATAGAGGAAAGGTTGAGGATGACGCGTGAGAACAACAACTTCAAGCCTGGAGGTTCCATTAGGGACGCAAAGGAATGAAGAACAAGTAAAATGTTATTGCGTACAGTTGTCTCCTTGTTAAATACATCTATATGCGATTATCTTCATCGCTGTTATAAATTAATTAATAGTTTGTGGTTTTTGTAATACTTCTGTGGGTTTTGCAATTGTTTATGGTTTGAAATTTTTTACTATGAGTAATAATCAAACCCTCTATGTGTTAGATTTAACTTTCCTTATACATACCCATTCATTAACTAGTATTTTAATCTACATAACTGTTACGTAACTGCTTGCAGTAGATAATAATTGTAAGCACTTTTTACTGCTGAGAATATTTCACGTAACCTTTGTTTGTTTACGTGATTTCTATGTAGTAGGAATGGGGATTAAACTTGAAACGAAAACTGGAACACTAACAAGATTTGCACCAGTAATGTATGAGTGATTGATATTTTCTCACTTTATCGAGAAAGCTGTAAAACTCAAGCAATCTCAATCATACATAGGCCGGACGAAGACCTTATTGACTAAAATGAGATCAAGAATGGGTTTTAGTAGTTTGCTGAGTTATCCACTGAGTCGGTAGCACGAAGGCTGTTATATCGTGTCTTGTTACCACCTGTCGTACTAACTGAAATCACCACACTGTCTCCCAGATTTATATATATATATATGTAGTGTTACTAAAAATGAGTCACTGCTTCCTGATTTCTCTGTGCAATCTGATTTCCACTTCAAAATCTCTGGAAGTACCACTTAAAATATTCTCAGCTGCATTAAGCCGCAAAAATCTTTTTTTCGTCTTGCGTGAAAGTATATTTCATATTTATATCCTTCTCTGATGTCTGTCTTGAAAAAATACCTTCTGTTCAAGTATGAAGATAGGAAAAGATTATCTTGCTTTCTTTTCTTTATCCTACTTTTTTTCCTAATCATCACTTGCATCTCGTGTTTGTATTTACATGTGTGTGTGTGTGTGTGTGTGCATATGTAGGTTCAAGATTGATACAAAATTAGGTCAATGAATAGACACGTATTTTAACCTACATTTTATTGATTCAATAGATTCTTTTAAGTATTACGTATATAAGCTTATCTTAGCTTCCTTTTTGCTTTAGAATTATGTATATATTAATAGTTCCCATTATAGCATGAAAAACACAGTGTTCAGTGAAGCGACTGTTTCTGATGTATTTATTATTTTAAGAAATTATATCCTGTGAGGAGATTTAAACAAAGGCGTGAATACTCGACATAATAATATTTGTATGAAATGCAGTTAAATTGTTTGTGATTCTAATCATAGTTAAATATCAAGTGGCAAAACTTGCCGTGTTTTCCTGGTAAACGTCTAAAGAAAGCGGACGCCTTTGGTAGCCACGAATTCAAGCCAGACCTTTGTGTAGGCAAGATTTATGTACAGTCTTTAGTTATGGTTTTTGTGCATAGCCGACACAGATCTTAATAAATTGTATGAGATGATGTTATTTGATTGACTGTAACTACCAGTGGAAGCCAGGCTGCGTGTTTCGCCCTATTTGGGAATTATCGTCTGGAGGTGCCTGAGTCTGCTAGTGTGTGTGTGTAATGTGATGTTCTCACTGAGACACAAACTCGGCATCCATCGTTTCAAACGCCAAAGCATCGTTACTAAATCTCTTCGAAATGCTACTTTTTACATTTTACACCTTTCTGATACAGTCTCTTTCTCTCTCTCTCTCTCTCAGGGAATATTAAATGCGTCGGAGACTTTCGCCTAGTTCCTACAATAAATGAATAATTTCGAAATAATACAGAAGATTTGTAGCTCAGGTGAATGATTTGCAATTAATAGTGTTCTCTGAGCTGGTTGGTTTAGTCAATAGAAAATGGTCAATACATATGTAAAGATGGTTACCGGGGGACGCAATTATATCACTCATGAAGAAATTTAAATAATTTCACTTTGTGCTAAATATGGCGCTGAAGATGTTGTCCAGAAGGACGACGAAAGCTCCGCAACTAAACCAATCAGCTCAGAGAACACTAATAATTGCAAATGAATAATTTGTATATTAGAGTTTGTTAACTCAAGGTTCTATCTGGAAATCTAAGTTTAACATTATTACTAAAAATGTGTTTTTTTAATTTTTCACTAACTATTTCTTATTGTTTACCATTTTCCTAATTTATACAGATGAATTTAATTCCTCCTAAGCTGCCTTCATTTTTAATGTTATCAGTCTACATATCATGTGTAGTCTGTCTTATTCTTTGGGATATAAATAGTGATCTACTGGTTAGTCAGTTGTTACACTACCAATCTAGCAATCATCGAAATCCAGAAATCAAAAATCCAATCACCGTCATTGATACTAATGACTTCAATGATGAGTCCTGTACAGAGAATGATTCTGAATCGTTTACAAATGAATCAAGTGAAGATCGTTCGGCTGTTTCGGAGGTGTTTTGTCATTTGCTAATAAGGTTATGCATGTAAGCTTTTTTCTTATTCGCAGGAGCATTTTTCAATATTAGTAGTTATTTAAGTATGATTATGCATGCTGTTATAGATAGAAGGTTTTCATTATCCAATGTCAAAATAATTTACTCTGTCAATATTAGTTAAACTTTTAGTCATTTAGCACAGCATTTTCATGTATTGGGCTTTGAGCTCCATTCATAGTGTGTAACAGCCGATGATGGTTGGCAAAGGCAGCGCCGATAACAAACAGTAAAAACACCTTTACCTCTGTGGTACAGATCGATTGTAGAGAACTATTGATTCGAAAAGTTATAACCGTAAAATGAACACAATACATTTAGGAGGGGTTCAGCAGACTAAAGGAATCTCTATATTCAAGTATTCGTTTATAGGGATTTGATTGATTGCTTACAGAATTTCATCATAAGCTGGCATTGGTTAGAGGACCACTGGAAAACCTGGGAGTACTGGACAGCCAGCAGTCTCGTCCTAGTTTGTAACTCTTCATAAGTATGAACCCACTGGGGTTCGAACCCAGGACTTTCTGGTTACAAGGCGAGCTCGTGGACCATTAAGCCACTAGGACCCGATCCAATGGCCCATGAATTCTAAATTCTTCCAATTCACGACATAGCGCGACCGTTAGCCAATGTCTTCGGTGAGTATTTGTCCTCACACCCGACCTGCTGCACCCTACTGGTCACGACTTCCCACCAGAACCCCAGGTAACTACCTACCTGAATAGGGCAAGTCGCTAGTGAGCATCTCATCGATATTCAAGTATCAGTCCCGGTATTAACTGTATTACAGATAGACTTTGGCTTGTTATGTGTTCTGTTCCTCATTTACAATTGAGTTTATTATGTGAATCACGAACTTATTTGCAGTTTGTGAGAGTAAAGTCTTTTGTTTCAGAATCTATTTCTGTGTAATCGATAAAACATGGATATCCCATTAAATAATCGCTTATGTTCTTTTATGATGTCCGAAGATAATTGTCTTCCGTTTACTACCTAGATAGACTGTAACTGATTAGAAAAAGAAATATCCTAACGTCTCCGTTTTTCATGATAGAACTTCTAGGATATATTGTCGGCGTTTAGTAACATTACTAGCAGCAGTATGACACACCAAATTAAAACTGACAGTGACTTGTCACCTCTTGTCTTCGCTTTAAGCTTGTTTGGCTCTAAAATAGTCGTTTCAGAGTTGCTGGCTTTTTCAAGTAACAGTATTGTTTCGAATTTCGGATCTAAAAGACTTTCCCGAAGATTTTCGCAAAATTAACAGAGATTATATAGAGGACAGTAGGCAGGGGTGTTACCATCAGACCAAGTCATAGCATTAGCTCTATCAGATCGATGACTTTTGGTTTGTACTGTTTAAAGTTTGTAATTTGCCCCCATTAAAGACCATTGCTGTAATATCTTCAAATTGCCTTCATCGGCGCAAATGTATTCATACCTAATTTCCATGTTAATTTCTATAGCACATATCTTTACCTGCCTGCATCTTCTTTTGTTATCTTAAGACAAATAATTACATTATTTCTAATTTCATTGTCTAATTGTTACTAATTGGCATTTGATGCACAAAAATGGTTTATGTTAACTTGAAAAGTTACACCACCATTCTGCGTTACATGTTCATACTGTTGGTTTATCTGTGCTTATTATGAACGCCTATCGTCATCTTGTCATTTTTTTCAAGATATCTAAACCCATAGTTGTAGATGATGTTTCTTTTATTGATTGACATCGTGTTTTCATGGATATTAAGATATGGTTCATTGGTTTAAGCACCCGGCCTTTCAGTCAATGTGTTTGAGTCCCGTCCCACCTGCCTCAGCTTTGGCAACTGAGTAGTATCATTAGCCCCCACACAATAAGTGTGGCTTATACCCCCAACACCGAGTTTTTGAGGAGTAACTAACTACCTTTCATGGATAAATTGGTGTTTTGATGTTCAGATAAAATTTGGAATATTTTTACCTGGAGCAACTCTGATATGATTTGACTTCTTACTAGCATTTTTTTCAAATACATTATATCACTTTATTAGCTTTTCTCTGCTGCGATAGTTTCCGTGAATACTAATCCCCATTCCAATGTTCTCTAATAGTAAATCTAATGACGACAATTAATTGAGTGGTTATTCACTGTCGTAGCATTGCACAATTATAAAAAAGGCTTCAATCTGGTAGAAGCTTCACTAGTTTTACTGAAAAAAAGTATCCGAATCATTTTTCATTTTTTGATCTAGATCTGTCTACAGTGCTTTTAATGCATTTATATGCTTCAGTTGGAAATAAAAAGGCTTATGATTAATGCATAAGACAGGCTGTCTTTTTTCTTTACTGAAAATCACTTAATGATATAATTATGCTATTTCCATGCTTACTCACCTGTGAAATTGATACAGATTGTTTAAAGTGATTTAAATAAACGTACAGTTATGATATTTTTATAGTTGTTAGCGCTGTCCATATATGAATAAACGGAAACTTATGTAACGACATATACACAACACTTTTACCATTTGATTACACTGATTAAGCAATAAAAAAATATGACAGTGTGTTTGTAAGCAAGTAATTCTGTATCTAGTCTCCTTGTTCATCCGCTTATAAGTGAGATGGATTCAACCTTGTCTGTTTCCTTCTGTTTATTATTATTATTATTATTACTATCATTTTTCATTTCTAGGTTGTGCTGTGGATTAGTAAGTTTACTCGGCTCACTGGCCTACGTGACGTATTCCATGGAATTACCATCAGATAATGTGTGTCAGTTGTATTCATTATTTTCACTGAAAATTTTTGGCATAGCACAAATATCTGTGGGATATCCTCAACGATGGCTGTGCGACAAGGTAGGCAGGCAGATGATTATTCTGTGTTCGATCACTTTAAAATTTTGGTATTTCAAGATAATCATATTTCTGGTCACTGATAACTGCACTACTCACTTCGGTTGCGTTGATAACATTTAATGCATTGCATACTGGCTTCTTAATGCTAAATAACGTGTAGAGATACCTTGAGAAATTATTTTTGCAGATACATAATTTTATATGTTATTCTGTAAGTCAATTGATTCCTCAGATTTATTTCAAAGTAAACTTTACTGTGGTTGGAAACTAGTTAGTTAGGGATTAGAAACACAAAACAACTGTTCCTTTATTTATTTTTTCCTTGATATGAGTGAGGATTGGTGGTGTCACATTGGCACTTGTGTAGGATGATTACGTCACGTAACTAGTACCCTTTCCCTATTCAATCAATGCGTCAAAATCCAATGACCCGTGTTTTTCAAGTTCTGTCATACAGTGACCTTAGTAAGAATAATTCCCTTGATAACTTGATTTTTTAATGCCTTCGACTATGGCCTTTTATTTCGATGAATGCTTAACCTAGGTGACTGTGTTGGTGTGAACCAATGACTAATAGTGTAAATATTGACAATTCTGAAATGTAGGTGTTAAAGTATGAGTATAAGTTTTGTTCATCTGTTTAAACTATCATACTTTCTACAAGAGATGGTACAAGAGAGCAGTGCTTGCGCATACTAGAAGTGTCAAATTTCAGCATATATATACATATATCAGAGAGTGAACTTGTTCTATTTTGTTAGAAATAGACTGACACTAAACTTACGATAGTAAATTTAAGTCCTGGAATGTGATGAAGGCGTAAAATGTTCTCAGCCTACACGTAAATCTATTATTCCACTACTGTACTTTGTTGATTGATTGAAATCATTTAAACTGACATAAACACTTACAGGTATCCTTTCGTTTTGACATAGTTCTACGAGCATCTCTTTTTTCACTTCCTCTGGTGCGCTATTTCAGATTTTGATAACTTAAACTGATACACTGCCACACAATATTAAATGTTCTTCTGTTTGTGTGTCTGTTGTAATCCATATTAGTATTTCCTTACCTTTTTTTGGAGTAGATTTATTTACTTGCTGGTGGTGATTTAATTCATATACTATCCATCCTTATTTTTAACCTTTTGTATTTCATGAGCATTGCTCATTTCAGATGGAAAACATAATATTATCACTGTTCCCTTGCTTTCCGAGTGGAACATAAGGCTGCAACAACACATCTCCACTTTGTTCTGTTTTCTGCCGTCCTCTTCAGCTGGGTCCGCGATTGACCAAACTCTCTCATCTCTTCTCACACGATCTCTTCCATGTCACCCTCGCACCGACGACCCACACGTCGCTTCCCATTTGGATTCCACTCGAGCACTGGCCTGGTGTGCGATTTCATTCGGTGGCCGCCTTAATGTATGCCTTATCCATCTCCACTTTCTCCTGCATATTTGTTGAGCAATCGACTGTTGGTTGGTTTGTTCCCATAGTCTCTTGTTGCTTATTCTTTCTGGCCGTCCATTTGATTTTCAGTATAGAGCCAGCGAAGGTGGCAGCTGTTGATGAAAGTCTGCGCTCTGTTAGAAATCTTTTTCGTAACTCGCAGTTCAGGTTTCTGATCCGTATAGAAGAACTGACTTCACATTGGTGTTGAAAATGCGAATCTTGTTCCTTATGCTGAGGGCGGAAGATTTCCAAACTGGTTGATGAAGGCGTATCTCACCTTTCCGATTCTGGCTGGCTGGCTGGCTTTGACATCTTCATCCGTGACGTGTGCCTGTAGTTGAAACGATGCTTCCTAGCCACATAAGTGAAGGAGGTAACCTCTGTTAAATCTCTCCCTTTGATGGTGATTGGTGTAAATTGTTGTTGCCGTTGATAGGTTAGCTTCATCACCTCCGTCTTCTCTATGTTCACCTGGAGTCCTGTCTTTGCCTTCTAGCTCTTCCGCTTCTTTGTTGGTTTTCGCCCGTAAGTCTTCTAATTTGTGTGACATTAAATATAAACCATCCACACGCGAAGTCTCAATCGTCTAGAGTCTTATCGTAGGTGGTCCAGTCTCATCCTATCTTCTCACTTCCAATGCACAGTCCACCACAATTAAGAATATCATCGATGATAATAGGCAGCCAGACTTGTCTTACTCCTGTATTCACTTCGAACGTCTCACCGGGTTTCCCTTATGGAACACTTGACACGTGGCATTGCCTCAGTATGTTCGTGATTGTCGTCTGGGTTACCAAACCGCAATAGATTACTGACTCTCCCGTTGACAATGTTATCAGTCCACATCCATTCCACCTGCTTTCGCAGATACCCAGTACTTATACGCCATATCTTCGCATCTCTTTGGCTACCTGGATTGCCTTCCCAGTCTCGTACACTGTACGGACATTCGACGTCCCCATTCTTATTTTTGCTTTCACCAAGGATAGATACATCGGCTGGGTGACTGGCTTCCCTAAGGCTGTTTTTCACCGGCCTGCTGTGTCATTTCGCCTCTCCGATTCGAGCGAGGAATAAGATTGTTGTTATATGAATTTTTTGTATTTTCAATATATTTTCTGTGGGTTGAAGTTTCTCTAGCGGTTTTAATGATTTAGTGATGTTTGGGCTGCTAGCCCCATGCCCAACCGTCGCTCTTTACCCGGGCTTGGGAGAGGCTAGAAAACTAGCGAGCTAGTTAACTAGGCGAGGTTGAAAAACATAATATCGTTTATCATATTGCATATATATATATATAATGTCCATGAAATAATTCTATCCACAAAAGAAATTTTAATATAACTTTAGTATAAATGTTAGCGATGATTTGAAGTCAAGATCTTGGCGAACCATGTGACTAACAAAATATGTTAGTCTTTCCATATCAGCCGTCTCGTACGCTTTATTTTAATTCTGTTCATCCTACTCATCAGAGAATAAATAAAATACCCCAACAATAGTCACATGCGTTAAAATGTTACTGTTTAATTCGGTATGTCCCATTCGTCAGTGCCTACTTCGTAAAAAAGAGCAGTTTTGAATTATGAAAGCTTCTGCGAAATATTTGCCAGTCATGTTGTATTGTATCGAACTGTAGTGAAGTTGATGAGATATTTTTGCTATCAATCGTCAATATCATATACCTAATACGCGATATTTTTAGAACCATTTTTAATGTGGACTTGGTTTCTGCGTTTACACAAAATGATGATCTTGTCACACATTGATCTTTCTGGCCTTGATTTTGTAAAGTTAAACTGGGCGAAGGAAGCACGAATTCATCATTCTTGTTTGCGTATGTAGTCCTTTCCACCATCAACCTTGTGTTTGAATAATTTCTTTTAGCTGATTGGTTTCAAGATAGCTGATTTTGTTTGTATAGTGGATCTATCTCACGTGCTTTATGAATTGCTACTGTGTCATTTTCACTATTTAATTGAGAAGACCGGAGAATGCGATCATCCCACTTCCATTAACGATTTAGAAGACTCATTTGATGAAAACACTGTAATTTTCAACCACAGTAATTCCAATTCTTGATTTAAAAACATTATCTAATCCTTACAAACCAAACTATAGAAAATTAATCTGATGCTCGCTAGTGACTTGCTACAGCATGGAGTTTCCTGGAGTTCTAGTGAGAAGTCGTGACCAGTGGGGTCCATCCAGTCAAGTGTAAGGATAAATGTCACACCGATGACATTAGTTGGTGGTCGCGCTAAATCACGAATTGGTAGAAGTTAGAATTCATGGGCGATTGAATCGGGTCCCAGTGGCTGAGTAGTATGTGCGTACTGCCGATGATTCCCAAAGTAGGATGAAACAGCTGTCCAATACTCCAACGCTGGTTTTTAATGGTTCTCTAACTGATGTCGATCCGTGGTCAAACTCGTGTTTTTCTAATATCAACTTTAGATTATATATATATATATATATTGCTGCCTCATGTATCTTGCTTACTGGAATTAATAATAATTAACTTTTTACTTCAGATACGATGCCGATCTTCTCGTCTTTTTAAAGATGAATCCAAAGTCTTGCAATTCATCTTAACTTGTGTGGTGAACTTAAGTATTGTTTTATCAGTTATCCTCCGTTTTCAATTCTGTTCAAGTCTTAAAACGGACCTGGAGGTAAGTAACCTATGTGAAATAACTACTACTTTGCCTAAATTTAATTAATCCATTTATAGTAATTTTCTAAGGGATTAATTAACCAATATGTCATGGATAAACGAATGGGCTGGTGGATGATTAGTTTTTATCACTGTCATATCTTTCTCTTCCAGCTTGCAAAATTACTTTAATGAGAATCGTCTATCAGCGAAGGAATCGGTCGTTAACTAGAGAACAGAATTCTACAATTCACTCACGACTTAATGGCTCGTGTAGCGAAATATAATTTTTCTTCTTAAGGGAGAAGCATTTCTGTACAGTTGCACAAATTAAATGTCTACCGATTAAATTTAAATTTATCGCTACTTCATAACTACTGATTATTTGGAACTGTATATTACAACCTTAATGATGTAGTTTCAAGCCAAGCGAGGATGTATCACAATTGGTTATTTCGCAGTAGATGCTCCTATACAGTGAATGATGAACTTCATAAATACTAATTACTTTTAACATCGGTATGATTTAATTTTGATCTCGGAACTGTGTTCAACTAAAATATATTTTTAGCATTGAGAGTATATCTATCGCTCCCCACTACTACCTAATATGATAAAAATCTGCAGATATTAATATTCGGGCATAAAAGGCGATTTACTATTTCCAATCAGCCACTTCCAGTCTTTATTTATTTATTTGCATGTGATCAAAGTTTTGACAAGGGTATATGAAGTATAACCCAGCCTCATTTAATGTTCACTTTGAGTGTTACCATTTTCAAGTTATCTAATCTTTACTGCCAATTGTATTCGATACGTCAAGTGGATCACCAAACACCAAAATGATATGCTCATCCTTATGGTATGTGCGCACCCCAAGGTTGGACCTCAGTGGTCTTCAACTAATACTTATTTCTTCAAGCGCCACGTCATGAGAGCACTAGACAATCTTCTACTTGCTTCATTTGCCTTATATACATATAAATGTGGCGTCTGCTACTGACACAATTTATAAGTAGTATATAGCTGCAGATATAAATATGTATATCATCTGCAAGAATATCGAGTGTTCGGAGAGATGGATTTAACGAACGATGCTTGTGAAACAACATGAAAAACATGGAAGGAAGACAAAAGCATGATAATACCGAGCACATGTGCAAACTGAGATTCGAATATGTGGTAGATGCATTTTGCCTATATCCGTTTATCGAATTGCCAATAAATAATTTCGTTGGAAAACACTCTTGTGTTGTACTGTTACGCATGTATGTATATATATATATATGATGCGTTTTTCTTTGATTACTTAACTTGGTGCTGTTTTAATGACGCATGTGGAAAAATTCCCCTGCCCATCCTTTATTTTATGACCTTTTTTTGTTTTGTTTGTTTTTTCTTATTTCTGTAGGTTTTCTTTTTACCATGGATTGTATTCGTTTTTCACGGAAGACTGTTCAACCGTTACCGACATATATTAGCGTTAACTTGCTTTACTATTTTCTTAGTCTATTTGATATTTCTTAATTCTCCAGTCGTCAAAGGTTATTCACCACCCTTACCAACATTTGATCGTCAGTTTTTTGGAAAGTCGAATTCATCAGTTTATTATTGGAGTGAATTTTTACTGACTGTTGCATTGATTCCGCTTCATATACTCTTTCTTGCCGATCAGTTGGATTTGAGTACACAATGTTTAGTGAATGTTATATTTTTTAATTATTTTGGCCAGTCGCATAATCAGCATTTACCTTCGTCTATATGTTTTAAATGTATTAAATTGTATATGGCGAATTGTTTAAGTTGCATTTTTGCATATATTCTATGCACTAGTTATGTATTATTACCATTATGCATAAGTTATTGGTTTATTGCCAGTTCTTTTGCATCAGCTATTTTTGGATTTTATAGTTTTATTATATGTATTTATTTATTACTCCGTGTAGACGTGGTCACGGACGATTACTATGCGTATCGATAAAACAATTTCGACTATCATCGATATCTACGCATAAAGCATTTATTTTATATTTACCTTACATTATTCCATTTATTCTCATTTTCCCTTTTTTAAAAAAATAAATAAAAGAACTTGGGATTATTTATCTGTGTACCTTCGTATATTTTATATATGTATTACTACTAGTAATAATAAATGTGATATACTTTATCAGCTGATTACACTGTTTTCTTTCTTGTTTTGTGATTCGTTATTAATTCTACCACGTATGTTTGTATTTCTATGCTTGTATGCGTGTGTGTGTGTGTCATTTCAGCTTGCGCATATTTCTGTATTCTTTATGACTGTTGTTGGTTACCTCAATTATTGTTAACTGTGATGTAAACATTCGGATGTAGTGTCTGCTATTATTCTTGCTCACAGACTGCAGATGTTTTGAACGGTTTAGGGTTGCACAGCTATGCTAACTTCCTAAACAGCCTAACGAACACTTACAGGCGTCTAGAAGGCAGCAGAAACTTACCAGTCTTTAGGATTAGCCTATTCTAGTTTGTGCTATTTATGGTGAAGACCAGCGGCCAGCCAAATTAATAATCACCTGGAAAAAAATAATAGTTTTCAGCGTCACATTTCTATTCATCTGACAGTACTATTTTTGTCTGGCCTTTTGCTACAGCGTAAATTATTTACTCTTAAGCAGTTATCACTTTTTCTTTTTTTATCTTTACATACCTTGTGATGTTAGATGATTCGAAAAAATAGTAATCACTAGAAAATTGTTATTTTAGAAGGGGGTGACTCAAATAAATCTCTTTGTCTGATAAATGCTTCACAAATAAAAGTTTTTCTGTGTCAATGGATTTGCCTGAAAAAAATTCAGAGGTCTTCTATCTATCAAATGGCAATGAAAGTGCTTTATTTTTCTATTTCAGTTAGTATACGGGGTACTTAGTTAGTGAACTTACCTGTTTAATCATACATTCTAATATAAATGTTCGTTTCATGAATAAAACTCCTTACGGAATCACAGAATGTTGACTTGATATCCATAAAATTTTGTCAGTTAATACTGTTCAGTTGATCTTCGGATTATTCAAAGTAGTTATTTAACAGAATTATCTCCTTCACTGCTTGACAATCAAAAATAAATGAATGGAAACAAAATAATAATCAATTTTTTGCCGACAACTTAAAGCTACTTATAGGTAACTCTTTTCCAACTGTCCATTTGTTGGTTGACTCCCCTTTAGTTATAAGAATGATGGAACTGAAGCTACGAAGACCACGTAATGTTGTTAGAAGCTGCTAGCTGAATTTGTTTATACTCAGCTCATCTATTGCTATCATATGCTTGGTCATTATGCAAACACAGTTTCAATAGTGTGAATATTAGTCGTCTAACTGCAGTAGGAACTCCAAGGATTCTATTTAATTGGGTATATTGCAAAGCAACTAGACATAGCTCTTTAACTTTAGAATTGTGTGAAGATGGTATTGAGGACTTATTGCTTGTAACACCTACTGTAGTCATTTATGTATGGGAATCCGAAATAGTTCCACCAAACTACTGATGGTTCTTGATCAGATGAGTCTGTAATAGAGGGAACAACGGTTGTTGTGATATTAATGACTTTGTATCAGCTTAACTGCTGTAGTAGTCTAGACTTTTACTTCTGAAGTGATACACAGACTAATTGCATGTTGGTGAAAACGACAATGAAACAACCATTCATGTTTCGCAGTCAGACGCATCTTCAGCCTTTAAAGGTTTTGGGAACACAGATTTGTTCGACCTGAGAGCAGCATTCGACTACATGCATTGAGAAATGTTACGAAAATGGCAGCCAAGGGAACACCGATAAGTAATATGGTGTTGCACAAGTGAGTAGAATTGTCGTTTGAAGTCATCACAGTCCATGGCGATAGTCAGACATTCTAGAGTATGCAGACAGGTAAAAACTGACAAAAGACAGAGTTCCTCTAACACTGTGTCATATTTGTTGTCTGTTTGACATTCTAGTCATCTTTGGCAAACGTGAAATGGTGATGCGGGATTTATCCGCATCAACTCGTGGTTCAAAAGTAGGTTGTCATATGGCTGATTGTGTTGACGGCTTCACTTATTTTAGGAGTTGCTTCAGTCGTAATTGACTCGTTTCTAAAAAAATCGCAGCAAATAAACAATCGACTCGTTTGGCACAAGTCGACGTTAGTCGTATTTCGCCTGGGTGCGATATCAGGCTTGCAATCAGTAGGCGTGTCACACTTACGGTTGCATAAAATGTATGGAAGCATCAGAGGTTTTTACCACAGGTATTTTAGTTCAGTCGCCCTTATTATTTGAAGCAATACTATGACGACGCTAGGCTAGTCGAGGTTGTGAAATTCCATTTTTTGAAATGTACTATACATGATGTTCCACTACCTCGGTCAGTGGGGAATATTAGCTTAAGTAGAATTAGTATGGAAAAGTGCTAAAAGTTGTTGACTCTACACAGAATATCAGTCCATGAAGTCATTTACAAGTGATTTGAGCCAGATTCAGAAGTAGGATGATATGGAATTATGGTTGGATAAACTGATTCACTTCATGACATTCTCTGTTGATTCTTCAGTTGTTTTCTTAACCATAATAATATCCATTTTAAATGTCTTTTACTCATTCTCATATAATTTTAACAAAAAACACGTAACTATTTTTACCATGAACCGTAGACTGTGTGAAAGACCAATGACTTTAAAAAGAATCAAATTAGCTTGATTCTTATATTAACATGGTAGCACTGAATATACTGTGTAACAGACATTCTAAAGTGAGAGTGTATCTATCTCAGTGTATTAGCAGTTTACATGCATTACCTTAACAAGAGGGTTAGCTAAGTACGCCTTATTTGTCTAATTTATTTTAATATAGCGAAAATATTCATTCAAACATCTATAAAACACAAAATAATTGAGCAAAGAATGTCCTTTCCGATAATTTCCTCTTCTGGGATCCACATTAAGAAGCCTAATTTATGCCTCCAAAAGAAGCTGGTTCAGACATTGTCCTTATCTTGACCATCTCGGTTTGAGTGATCCTCAATTTGTTATAGAAATTTCCGTAATTTTAGTTGATATTCTATTTGCTATTATATTTATGTTATTATTATTATTATAATTTAAGTATCTCTAATGAACTGTAATTCCATTGATCTTACTTTACAAATGGATATTATTTAAAAAACACTAATATTGTTATTGACTACTATTCTAAGATAGTCTGTGTATATAAGCATATATACATATAATTGTAGAGCCAGAAGAGGAAATTATCGAAAAGGATATTCTTTGCTCAATTATTTTGTGTAATTTATTTTAAACACATAAATCAAGTTCCTGGTTAACTGAGTAACAATTTACAACTTATATGTTCCGGCATTCATCTTTCTTTGATTGTCATTCATTAAATTCTCGTATGATGTAGTATCCTGTCAGCTATTAAAAAGTTAACTCTACTAGCAGCTCATATGAATTGCTATCCATCCGGCGACGTAATTTTTAAGCAATTTCAGCCACTGATATTTCGTGTGTAAAAATAATTACTAAATTAATCTGACTTATAATAGAGGCGGAAGTAAGTTAATGTAGGAAATCGTAGAATTTCTTTTTTACTTCCTGAGCCACACAAGTGTGTGTGTGGACTTCGTCTTCGTAAACACTACAGATGATTGTTCAAATACTTTAGTTGAAGATTGATAGTCGGTTATCACTGTCTTATTCTCTTTGTTTTAACGTATTCTATCTCCTTTCCAGTTAGCAGCTAAACATGTGTGGTCTTTACTGGTTTAAAAATAATTCCTATGTTTTAGACAAATAAGTATCCTGCTAGCATATACATTGTTTTACATCAAACACTTCTACAATTAAGAAACAGCGAAAATATTCATTTAGACATCTATAGAACACAAAATAATTGAGCAAAGAATATCCTTTTCAATAATTTCCTCTTCTGGCTCTACAATTATATATATGTTTATATACAAAGAATATTCTAGAATGGTAGTCATTAACAATATTAGAGTTTTTTAAATAATATCCATTTTTAAAGTAAGATCAATGGAATTATTGTTCATTAGAGAGTGTACGTCGGTGGCACAGTGGTTAGGACTCTCGCCGACCATGCACATGGTCCGGGGTTCCATCCCCTGCCGACGCACACCTGATATCTATGGTCAGCCTGCAAATTTGGGCTACCGATATCCATGCTGAAAATTCCATACTTGTACTCAAAATACGGTGTGGCATCAAAGCTGTAGTCAAAATAAAAAAATTTAAAAAATACCTAAATAATAATAATAAAAATATAATAGCAAATGGAATATCAACTAAAATTAAGGAAATTTCTACAAAAAATTGAGGATCATTCGAACCTAGATGGACAAGGTAAGAACAATATCTGAACTACCTTCTTTTGGACGCACAAACATTAAGTGGACAAGTGTTTGTCAACGTATTATACATACATATACAGTATTCATCCAGTGAAAACTAATCAAGAATTTGAATAAACCACTATAAATTTGAAATATGATGAATTGTCTTCAATGTAGCTATAATAATAATAATAATAATAATAATAATATTCTATAGTTTGGTTTGTAAGGGTTAGTTTTGTTTTTACGAGTTGACCAGTGAGGTCCATCCAGATGTCATGTGTGAGGACGGATGTCCCACCTACGACAATGATTGGGGTCGCGCTAAATCACGAATTGGTAGAAGTTAGAATTCATGAGCCATTGAATCGGATCCAAGTGGCTGAATGGTAGACGAGTTTGCCTTGTAACCGGAAGGCTCTGGTTTTGAACCCCAGCATGTGCGTACTGCCGATGATTCTC